CCCCCAAAAAAAAAAACAATTTATAATCCAAGTGTAAGACAGGGCAACAGATGGACATAAGAAGACAAGGGAATACTGTTCTTTGTTAAAAATCAAAGCAGTTTGTTTCTGTCTGCTAACAGCAATAGATCACAAAGAGCAATTTTAGCTTTAAAGGTCCTTGCATCTGAAACATTCTAATGTTTGGTTTGAATTAACTTGTTTGTATTTTCACTTGTGAATTAGCAATACCCTCATGACTAGAATCGGAAGGTTGTTTATGGTAAAGGGCATTAATCTATACCATAAGTAGCCTGGAGGAACAAACCAAATGATATTCAGATTGGATAAAAGTTTATTTTGTTTTAAACTGGCTCTGACTCAGAGTGTAACTGCTGCATTGTATAAATATTAACTCTCCAAAGTGGGCCATGTTTTGTGCTGAGTTGGAGCCATTAAGTATATTGATTTAGGACTGTATGCTGATCTTTGAGCTGTTATCCCAGGTATGAATTGCTAGCTAGGTAGTTGGCTGACATCTTGTTTAATTCCTTTAATTCTTTTAATTCACTTTGTTTGACTTCTTCTCCCCTCCCTCCCCCTAACAAGTTAGCTGGAAACCCTATGCCATGCACTTGCTTAATAGTGCTCTGCTTACAGTTACAAGGTTTTGAAACCATGCATCTCAAACCAGAAGATTAGTGCCATTCCTTTTATTACAAGGCAAAAGAACTAGAAGTATTTAGAATTAGCCAAGTAAAGGGCAATGCTAAAACCTTTGTCCTAAGCAATGGGTTTTCTGCTTCCTCCTTATCCCCTGGAGTTTTAGAGCTGTTTAATAGGCTGAGGTAAACTTCATTAGACTAGTTTTTTTTCCAAAAGTGACACTGATGCTTACTTAATACAGATTCAGTGTTACTATGTGTTTGCCAACTCAAAATATACTGCATCTTGGAACATTCACTATTTTTAGAACACTTTATTCCAATATGCATTAAAACTGATGCTAAACATGTCAACCAAGTAGACAGGTATGCTGAACTGATCAAATCATTTCCAATACTTATCTTGAGTCATGAACAGGTTTTCAGGTTTCATTGTGAACTGATGCTGCCATTTTTACTTGTTTTGCTCTTCAGGGGGCTGGAAATGCTCTTAAATCTCCTTTCACTTGTGCTCTACTCTTCCTTCCCCCCCCCCCCCCCAAAAAAAAATCCAATTAAGTATTAGACTAGTCATTCCAAGGTTTCTCTCTTCTAGTCAATCTCCATCGATCTTTTTTTTTAGTTCCTAGGCATTATGAACTAGGAGTACACAAAATGAAAATGGAGAAGTTCCAGATGCAGGAGCTATTTTCTCTAAAGCTCTTTCCAAGGTTGGTATGACCAGGACAGGCTGAGAAAAGTCATATATTTGATCTACAATGGCCCTTAATGCTTGTCCCTCCTAAAAATGTCTTGGGTGAATACATCTGTCAGTAGGCCTGTGCGAAGCAGCTAATATTCGCTTTGGATTCGGATTTGGCCGATTAGAGGGACAGTGATTCGATTCAGTGATTCAAATCACTGTCCCGAATCAATTCAGCCGCTGCCAAATCTCCAAATCTGACAGACACCAGATCCCGCCCCCCATCCTAAACAATTGTATTTCAGGCACTTAAACGCAAAAATTTGACCCAGCGCTGTGGCCTCTTGTCTAATTTGTCATGACTGTATTAATTCAGAGATTGTATTAATAGTTACTTTATTTTTTCTGGTTAATAGTTATTTTGGAGCTATTCAGAAATTACTGCATATCTTTCTTTTGACAGCAGTTTCCTGTATCTGCCTTTTTATTTGTTTTATAATGCTAGGATTTTTATAGGGCAAGTTTCTCAAAGTATTTTTAGAAAACAGTTTTCTCCAACCTTTTGGAGCCTGTCATAGCTCAAATAAAAGGAGGGTTATTTAAAAACTGAAGGCAGAAAGGATGAAGAAGGCTTTTATGATGACCTTTAAAGTGTGATTAAACACGTAAGGGTTAATGTTGTGGTATATAAAACATAATTTATTATCCTCTGTACTGGGGGGGGGCTGTCATTAATTTGAAGAATGTACCCCAGTATGTTAATGACTGCTCTTATGTGCATTTGGAAAGCACCTTGTTCTGTATGGGTGCTATAGCAATCAAGTTCATCATTGAATTTTCAAAGCATTTTACATACAAAAATTCAGTGTCAATCCTCTTATTAAACCAGAATTGTATGTGTGTCTCTTATGTGCTATTTCTAGCATGTATTCCACAATATCAGTGGAAAACTGGAGCTTCTGATATTAGGTTTGGGATGCTGGACTATATCCAGGAATTCCTGGATATCGTTCTATGGCATATGTTATGCGGGAGATTAGATGATCATAATAGTCCGTCATGGCCTTAAGTGCTATGAATCTAGGATTTACTTACTTTGTCCAGCTTTCTTGTAGGTTTTTAGTAGATAACATAATCTAATAGCTCCCTCTTTTGGGTGGCTATCGGTAGTACAGCTTTCACAGTTCTCACCATCTTTTCATTTAGGTCGCACCGGAAGATACACATTGATAGAAAAATGGAGAGACACAGAGAGGCACCTGGCACCTCATGAAAATCCAATAATTTCATTGAACAAATGGGGACAGTATGCAAATGATGTTCAGTTAATATTACGTCGCACAGGACCATCTCTCAGTGAGAGGCCAACTTCAGACAGTGTTGCTCGAATCCCAGAAAGAACTTTGTATCGGCAAAGCTTACCTCCATTAGCCAAGCTAAGACCTCAGAATGACAAATTGATAAAAAGAAGAGAGCCCAAAAGGAAATCTTTGACCTTCACAGGGGGTGCAAAAGGATTAATGGACATTTTTGGCAAAGGTAAAGAATCTGATTTCAAGCAAAAGGTGCTCAACAATTGTAAGACAACAGCAGATGAGTTGAAGAAACTGATACACCTCCAGACTGAGAAACTTCAGTCCATTGAGAAACAGTTGGAGTCAAATGAGGCTGAAATTCACTACTGGGAGCAGAAGTATAATTCCAGCCTGGAAGAGGAAATTATCAAGCTCGAGCAGAAGATCAAAAGGAATGAAGTGGAGATTGAAGAGGAGGAATTCTGGGAAAATGAACTGCAGATTGAGCAAGAAAATGAAAAGCAGCTGAAGGAACAACTCCAGGAGATCAAGAAAAGGATTCTGGAGTGTGAGATTAAGTTAAAGGACTGCATGGCTCAAATTCACAACATGGAAAGTGGCCTCGAGGCAGAGAAGTTGCACCGTGAAGTTCAGGAGTCCCAAGTGAATGAAGAAGAGGTCAAAGAAAAGATTGAGAAGGTGAAAGGTGAAATTGACATTCAGGGCCAACAAAGTCTAAGGTTGGAAAATGGCATTAAAGCTGTGGAAAGGTCATTGGGCCAAGCCACCAAACGATTGCAGGTAAGACTGCATGGGAAAAGTCAAGATCTTTTTAAGTTTTGTTTAGTCAAACAGGTGATAATTCATTTTGCTTACAGAAAATTCAGCCCATGTAAGATAGTCAAAAACAGAACATTTCCCATGATGCTGAAAAAAGGACAATATTATCCCTTCTCCCTTCCTTACCCTTCATTTCCTATTCCAATGTGCGTGTGTTCCTCTCTGCCACATACCTTTAAAAAATGGCCTTTTGTCTATGTTGATGCATTAAAGTGTTAACACCAAGAAGGACTAGATGGTGTGAGTGATTATTCAGAATAAGACATAGACTGTTTTATGACATGGACTAGTTCAGCACTAGTCTAATATCATGACCACCTGGTGACTATTTGGAGACTGGTGTGAAGCATCTCCAAAAGTGATCTTAGGCCCAGGTTCTCCAGGGTGCTAATGCAGCCAACTTTCATTTAAAGCAATGAAACTTCAAACCTAATTTCCTGGCATATGTTTATTTAAAGGCACTGTGAGAATTTATCCCCAATTCCAAGAATTGCGCCTCCACATATGCATGGTGGCAGGGTAGGGGATCAGGATTTTGGAATTGGGAATCTGATCCAAATCATTCCCTTTCTGCTTACTAGTGCAGGGGGAGTCTGGGATCAGATCCTGGGCTTCCCCTTGCACTGGAAAGTTGAAAGCAGGATGCCCACAGATTCAGGGCCAGGGTATGCAATCAGTTGATTGTCAGCCCCCCTACATGTTTATTTTAAAGCCATAAATCAGCCTTAGTGTTATGCATTCTTTTAGAACATTTTTACAGCTGGTTTGCCACTCTATGGCACCGTAAATTGGGTGCACATATGGCACCCTTGTCATTTATGCCAGAATCAACATGTTAATTTCAGTATAAATGTAGCATGCAAGAAGGGGGCCTTAGGTGATGCAGTACCTTTTAAAGATCTGGGTCTTAGATCCTAGTGGATCCAAGCCTACACTGTCAAGATGACTACCAAATTTAGTACATGTTGGCAGAGGCCTGGACTCTCATCTTATTCTAAAGAACACCTTTAAAGTCAGAGTTTGAAGGCACATGGAGGTAGCAAAGAAGGGGATGGGGGAAGGGGAGACAGGACTTGAATTACCCCTATGCTTAGGGTGACCATATCTCCCAGATTGGCTGGGATAGCCTCCAAAATCTGGGACTGTCTCAGCATCCCAACTGTTGGAGAAAACTGAAGCAGAAGTCCTAAATTGGTGTGAACCCAGATGCACATGCCCAGCTTCTGACTCAGGAGCCAGGCATGTGTGGGTGGGTCCACGGCAATCCAGGACTTCTGCTTCAGTTTTTTTAAGGGAGTCCAGCCAGTGGGCTGCTCCTTGGCTCATACTCTGCTGGGCTGCGAGGGGAGTCACTCAGTAGTTAAGGTGCAGAGGAGCCGCAGGATAGTGTGTGTGTGTGTGCGTGTGCGTGTGCGCGCGCGCATCCATGCTGCCCTGCCCAGCCCTGCTTCTGGGAGCTATAGGGTGTGGGGGAGGAAGGGGAGGATGCACATGCTGGCTCCCCCTCAGCCCAGATTTCCCTTAAATTATTATGGTCGCCCTACCTGTGCAACAGTGTCTCTTTTTTTTGAGATTATGCTGGATGGTCAGGATAGAGTTTAAATGTGTGTGTGGCGGAAGGGGGAGATTTAGCTCCAAAATTAGTATCAGAATATATTTGAGAGCTGAAGTGATGAGTGGCGTGGTTTCAAAACAGCTCTTTGGAGTTCTTCCTTTGACCTATCTGAGTTCAAGATTGTTTTCTATTTTCCTCAAGTATTTATAGAACACAGATCACTAGAGAATCTATCATTGCTTTTTATTCCCTGAAAAAGTTAATAATACCACTTGGAACTAAACAGAGAATTAAAGAATGCTGGTACATGTGACAGTCTGGGCACTTTAATTGGAGCAGATCTTGGAGCTGCGCTAATTAAAGTGACCCCTCCCCCACCCTGGAGCATGTGTATAATCACCCTGTGATAATGGAAACGGCTCAGGATTCTTCTGGTCAAAGGTCCCTGTGTCATATTAAATTAAGCTGTGTTTGTCAAGTTAAACTTTAAACATGTTTTGTTTTAGATGGGAACCCCAAGCATATATGTCCATGCATCCATTCAGGCTTCCAGTGATTTTATAAAATGATTTTAAGTTGCTGTGAAGCCATACAAACCACCCCTCCTCCACCCCCCCCCAAACCCCCCCCCCCCCCCCCCCCCCCCCCCAACTACAGAATGGACATGGACACATTGGAAAGAGTCCAGCAGAGGACAACAAAAAATGATTAGGGGGCTGGGATACATGACTTCTGAGGAGAGGCTGAGGGAATTGAGCCTATTTAGCCTGGAGAAAAGACTGAGAGGGGATTTAATAGCAGCCTTCATCTCCCTGAAGGGTGGTTCCAAAGAGGACGGAGCTAGACCGTTCTCAGTGGTGGCAATGACAGAACAAAGAGCAATGGTCTCCAGTTGCAGCAAGGGAAGTGTAGGTTAGATATTAGGAAAAACTTTCTCACAGGGAGAGTAGTAAAGCACTGGAACAGGTTACCTAGAGAGGCTGTAGACTCTCCATCCTTGGAGGTTTTTAAGACCAGGCTAGATAAAACCTTGGCTGGGATGATCTAGTTGGGGATGGCCGTGCTTTGAGCATGGAGTTGGACTAGATGAACTCCTGACCTTCTAAACCTAATTTTCTATGGTTCTATGATTTTATGGGTATGTAGTTTTTTTTTACAATTGCTGGCAACACCTACTAAGGCTAATTCTGAGTTCAAACTCCCATTATTACTCCATTTTACATGTAATGAGCTCCACCTTTCTCATATGCATTCCTATTAAGCCACAGCTTTTTCCATGTTGCTCTCAACCCAAAGCTAACTTGTTTTCTGATAAGCTAAAGGCATATCAGTTCAGCTCTGTTTCAATTATGCAAATAGAAGGATACAGGAAGGTGGGGAAGTGATTTTCCCATGTGCTTGGAATTGATAGTTTTATAAGCATTTCAGTTTTAAACTAGACATTTTAAATATGTCTTGTTTTTATAGTCCTTGCTGAGTAAGGAGAGGCAGGAAAATTTGGTTCAGTAATTTTTAAGGTTATGAATATATAAAGTCAGCATTTTCTTGAGGCATTTGAGAATTACCAAATTATGTTTTTTCCTGTGTGTTATAAGGACACCTTCAGTTAAAGATGTTCTCTGATTTAGCAATATTTTTTTTCTCTTTTCCTTTTTACTTTTAGAAAGGAAAAAGATTTTTAAATACCAGAATAACCCCTTGAACAGTAATAAAAGATTATGTGCAAATTTTCAAGCTAATATTTTTACAAGGTTGCAGATGAATCAAGAGCTTAGGTCAGTGGGACATATACACTTAAAGTTTTTACTCTACAGCATTTGAACTGAGGAATTTTCAAAAGCAAAGGTCATTTTATAATGCAAGTGTTGTAACTTGCACCTTTTTTTAAGGTCTTCTAATCCTGCTTGAGTTGAATGAAAGCTGCAGTGTATATTACTCTTCAGTCTGCTCTATGAAACATTTGCAAGTAGAGGTAACACTACAGTAATACATTTTTTTTTTTTAATTTGGGAACTTCCTAACTTCTGAATCTGATGCTCTGTTCATACTAGCTGGGATAAAACAGATTCTGAGCAGTTCTAGCAAAAATCTGGGGCTTTTTCCCCTTAAAACCAGTAGAATTTCTGGGTGGGTTCATTCCCTGTATTTCCATCCTAATTCTTTGGCAGGTCTTTCCAAAAGAACAGAATGTGATTCTAGGGCAATTTGTTCTGTCAAGCTGCATTATATATACTTATGGAGCATCTCTGGTACACAAGCTGCAGAGCCAGAATAGCTGGAATTTAAATGGGTTTTGTGCCCACTTCAGATTTGATTGAGGCAAAGTTCAGACTTCCTTTGGTGCTTTGTGTTTATAATCATTGGCTTAGAGCTCAATCATGGTTTTGCCACAAGCCCCAACTGAGGGTCCATGCCTTGATATACTGTCTGTAGGAGAACATGAAGTAGGTTATAGCTTTGCATCACAGGTGGCCTTCTGGATCACCCTTTCCTACCAGAGGAAAGATCCTGTACAAGGTATCTCTGCCAAAGAATGCACCATTGTAGTTGGCATATATTAAAGGGGACACATTGGCTATGCTCACTCCCATTATCTTGCCAAGTAGATGGATTTAATATTACTCTATTTCTGTCCACTAAGCAAAAGTGATGTCACAGCCCTGCTACCCATAATGTGGATAGCCAGCATCAGCAGTAACTAATGGGGTCTCCTTGTGTGGCCATCCCTGTAGGCTCCATCCTGCCCCTTGAATAATAGTATGAGGGATAACTTTATCCATCACCTTAACAAAGTGGGTGCGAGAGGACTTTATTTAAGGAAATGAACCTCTAGATTCTGCAGGCCACAGCAAAATGCACAGAGGACCTGTAGGAGACCCTAATTTTTTGTCCATTTTTGTACTGCTGTTGTGGCCAGAGGCCCAGCCAAGATTTGGCCCTTATTTATGCTAAACACCATGTACTCCTCTGATGAAAGAGAGGCCTAGAAGAGTTCAACAACAATACAGAGGTTTGGAGAAAAGAGAGTATAATCCCTAGTTTACACTGGGAAACTGAGGTACAGAGAGATTCAGTTGTTTGCTCAAATTTTATACAGGAAGTCTGTGGCAGAGCCAAGATTTTGGATCCAGTTCTTTAAAGACCCAGTGTCTTAAACACAAGAAAACTAGCTTCTGACGTTATCAGAATCACATTTTGTTTAGGCTTGCATCTTTTTTGTACCAGTCTTCTGCTCAGGTGACCTGAGAAGCATCTGACAGAGAACAAGCAAGCAATGTAAAGAGCTGCTAATGACTGACAAGTAATACTCAACATCATTTTACCTTCTTCAGGCTATGAAGCAAGTGAGCTTTCAGCTCTTTCACAGGAACAATAGCTTAAAAATGAGTTAGTTACCTGTCAAAGTAGGAGGAAAAGTTACTTGCTGCAGGCACACAGATGAGTAGAATTTTAGAAGTATGTTTCAAACTATGTCAGAATGGACTCTCTTCCCTCTTCCTCTGCTCAGGACCGAGAGCAAGAACTGGAACAGCTAACAAAGGAGCTGCGACAAGTAAATCTCCAGCAGTTTATCCAGCAAACAGGAACAAAGGTCACAGTGCTTCCTGCAGACCCTATCGAAATAGAGGCTTCACACGTAGAGCTTGAAAGAGGTATGACTTGGAAGTTTTCTAAGAAAAGCAACGTGCTTACCTGTTCCTTTTACTCTAAAGGTGCCTATATACATGTTCTCACATGTTCTGATTAGAACATGTTGGAGCAGACTGGATTAATTGAGTCTGCTGGAGTGTTCTAATGAGAATGCTCCAGCATCTTGTGTATTCAGTGTCCCACGTTTCAGAATGGTGGTGGGGGCGCTTTAACTGAAGCTTGTCAGACAACCTTTAGTTAAAGCACGCACCTCTGCGGCCATTTTAAAATGTGGGATGCTGAATACATGAGACACACCTAACAGCTGCTCTAATTAAAATGTCCCCTACACCCACCCCAGAGAATGTGTATAGTGCATCCTAGTGCAGTGTTTCTCAACCTTTTAAGTACCAAGTACCCCCTAACTTCTGAAAATTTTAATAAGTACCCCAACACTCAATTTTCCAGGGGATTTTATATTTACAGACTAGTGTATGCCATATGTTGGAAGAAGGGCTGTGTATATAAGGCTGTGATATGACAGATATCTGATCTGGTGTGGGTAGGGTTGCTACCTTTTACATCGGGGTGCACAACTCAAGTATGTACCTGGGCTAGAGGTGATGGTGGCCAAAGATAGGAGGGCTGAACCAACCGAGGGTTGGCCAAAGCAAGGAGGGCTTTGTGTGGCATGCAGAATTATTACTGGGGAATTTAAAGCGCTGCACAATGCGTGGTGTATCAAATTTTGTGCTATAGTTTTGAGAGGAGGAAGGGGTGAGAGAGAGACAGAGAGGAAAAGAGGGTGAGAGAGAGCGTGTTGAGGTACCCATGTACCCCCTGCCTGTATCTCGCGTACCCCCAGGGGTACGCATACCACAGGTTGAGAAACTGCACTAAATATCAGGTGACAACTTCATATTTTTATTGTGCAACAGTATAAAGTGAAGTAGAGAGTATTGTGTATGTGTGCATACACACGCTTGTGAGCATATATATAGTTGCCTCTTAAGCGAATGTGTACATACAAGTTAGCTTCTAATGGAACAGCCCCCAAAATAAGGAATTGTTTTCCTCTGGACATTCATTTTGCCTCATTCATTCCACTTTTCAGAAAATTCTTCTGAAATGCACCTTTTCCAAGGCCTTTCATTTCAGCTCCTGTGGAAGCCCTATTTACTAATGATAGCATGGTATTACTTTACAGAGGACAGAGAATTTGGTCTTTTGAGGATGCATTTTTCTAAGCCCCCATAGGTATGAGACGTATACTTTGCAACTTCTTTACATAGGTTGATTTAGCCAACTAGGGAAGCTAGATGTGCAACTTCTTTTAAAATGGATAGGAGCTGTGTACATAAATCTCAACTGTGGTAGTCGCATGTATGTATTTGCATGTGTAATTCTTTATTTGCACATGTAATTCTTGCCATAACCAAGCCCCATAATGGGCAAGGGGAAGAAGCATTTTCTATTAGAATTACTCTCCATTCTTGCACAAATCATACTACTTATCTTTTCTCTGCAGAGATGACATTTCAGTCTGGGTCCCTGAAGCGTCCTGGTTCATCAAGGCAGCTCCCCAGTAATCTTCGTATTCTGCAGAATCCTCTGTCATCTGGTTTTAACCCTGAGGGCATTTATGTATAACAGTAGATACCTCTTTTGGAGAGGACCTACAAAGGTATCCTGGGCATAATTTTTTTTTATTTCACCGATGCTGAATGGAAGAAGGTTTTCCTTTCTGTTGGGCCACCCCACATTGTTTTTTCATTCTACACACCACTTGGAGCCATACCCTTGTGCACTGATATGTTAAAGAACAAAGGAACCATGTTGATACACAGTTGATGACGGTGACATTCTGTCCAACACCTATTGTGTAAAAGCTTTATTACTGCTACTTCAGAAGCATTTAGAAAAGTATTATTCTATGTATACGCATAAATAAAAACACTGACTGAGCAGAGTGAAGGAAACCACATATGCAGTGGATATAAGGTTTAATTTATTCCGTTTAATCAATGACTGTGTGAATGTTGACCTTTTAATATTTTTTTTTATTTTATTGCTTTTAACTTGTGACTGATTATGTAATGTTGTATTTCTCAGTTTGACAAATATATATATTTTTTTTTTTTCTTTTTGCTTGTGCAAGCATCCAGCATTTCATCACATATCAAGTCTCAACCACAGGAGTGTTGTGGAGGTGCTGTATCGCCAAGATGGTCTTTAACAACTGATTGTGTGTGCTGACATTGTGGATTATGATACATCCTGCCCTTTGCTATCTTTGAAGGCCAAACTGAGTTTGGAGGATTCATTTCCTATTGATTTCTGCTTTGAGGAATGGATAGTTCATTCAAAAGATTATGGAATTTATACCTGGCTTGATATGAGTATATTCAATGTCTGATTGAAGATGCACTAGCTAGACCATATTTTTTTATATAGAATGCCTATTTCAGATATTTTGCTATGTTGTATATGCCTTTAAGAAACAAACAATGTAAGTAAGGAGTCTTCATCATATCTTACAAAAAGAGTTTAAAAAATTTTCAGTGTATTTTTACTCTTCTCCCCCCCCGGCCATTACAAGGTTCTTGTTTTGATGTTGCTAAAAATAAAATCTGTAATTCAAAAAAATTCTCTCAAAGCATGGTGAGTGTATAGAATCCTGGTCCCATGGAAGTTGGCAGCACCAGAACTTCTGCCAGCTTCACTGAAGTCAGGATTCACCGTGTTTTAACCCGCCCCCCCCCCCCCCCCCTTTTTCCCCACCAAGAACATCCTGGAACATGTTTAGTCAGGTCAGTCAGTTACACAACACTTATTTCAGTATACATAATCTTACAGATGGAAGAATGAGGAAAGAAATTCACACATTTAAATAGTAAACTCCATTTATTTTTACAATGTTTTAAGTTCATCTAGCACACAACTAAAAATCTTAGTAGCTGTCAACAAAGGAGCTCTCCAGACTGTTTAAAGGTAAGTGCATTATAGGTATAAGACTTCCAAATAATATATGGGTTGCAACATGAAGCTGTGGTCCTACACTCAGATTCATACAGCAGGTATCTGAGTTGTTACAGAATACCATTGGCTTAAATAGGAATCCCATCTGTACAACCTGGAGTCTACCAGATATTATAACGCCACCAGATATTGCCTTCTCATGTCACTGATGAATGAAATGCCAAGTTTGATTAACTAAATTCAAAATTCAGAAATTTCAAATTTCCCAAATTCAAATTAGAAACCCATTTTCTTTTGTCCAGACAATGCTAAATCAGATTCCTTATTTAAAAAAAGCTGTGTAGTCACACTGATAAAGTTTTATAGAACACAGTAAAGATGAAGAAGTCTGAAGAATTACATGCAATTATTTTCCTTCCTGTTTTATTAATGGCACCATCTGTACTAGAAATGGTGCTGTACTAAGACTAACAGCAATTTCAAATCGCATTGTGACAATATAAAGGACCTTTCCGAATGGATTCAACTGAAAAATAAAATTCAGCACTCTGGACTCTTTACCTGTGAACAAACTGGAAAATATACTGCTCCAGCCTAAAGAATCTTTGTAACACTTGCAGGTTTTGATAACAGGTTATTATGATTCCAGGTTCCACTTCTGTTTTATTCATAACTTTTCTTATATTAAAAAGAGAACTTATATATTAGTATAATACACACATGATTTGAGGACTCTATTTTTTTTTTGTCCAAAGCACTTGAGCATATATGCCTTACTTCCTGGGCCCAATTTACAGGGAATAAAATAGCCCAGGGGATGGGATACTTAGTATTCTCTACTGTCCTTAAAAAGGACAGATTTGAGCAGAATCAGATTCAAGTTGTGTTACATGGCAAATAGGCTATGTTACTTATTCACAAAGAAAAGTTTGATCTAAACCTTGACCTGAGATTAAGTATTTTTCTGGCAGAACAGTATCTATCCTCAAAATTTTCCATTATACAGTAAGTGACTGACCTAGGTTCCTTTTGATTTCAGTGAGAGGTTGAGCAGGTTTTACAGTAATAAGAGCCATTTTCTCCTCCCTCCCTTCCTTCCTTCCTCCTTCCCTCTGCCCCTCTGCTGCAGGGGAAAAGAGTTTTAAAACCCCCTTTTTTCCCCTCTATTCAGGGCATTCATCAGTAAGCGTTTGGAGTCTTTCCCCCTAAATGAATGTTTCAAATTTGGCATAGGTGGGTAACAATAGCTGTCAAGGAGTTGAACTGGCTTAGAAACAAATGTCATTGCAACTAGTGGTCCCACTAGTCGTGGGCTGAAGAACATCAACAAGACAACCAGAGCAGCTTCAGCCAGCCAAGTGAAGAGAGAACTTGGGCCTCCAGACTTTTTGCTACCCAGGCAATAAAAGAGCATAAAAGCTGACAATCCACTTTTCTTGGCCATACTTTTAATGTGTTGAGCTTTTATGTAGTGAAAAAGTCTTTTAGTTTGTATGCCCTGTTTGTAGATGAGCTAAAAAACATCATGAATTGATTAATCGAGTAAAAACTTAAAATCTCAGCATCCAAAGGAAAGTTATCAACATGGAGACCTCACGTTTTATTATACATGTATATTTTTATCATGCTTTCATTTCCAGAAGCTTTTTTTCAAACCTGCTCAAGGGGCATTAGTAGAATGGAGAGCACACATATACTGATTTTTAACAAGTTATATGCCAGCTACCATAATCATGGATTTTTATTGTTATTAATTAATTTAGTACACAAGCATTATTTTCCTCTCAGTGCACAGGGGATTTATATGGCTGGCTCCTGTTATTCCTAATGGGAATTCATAGATTCATAGATGTTAGGGTCGGAAGGGACCTCAATAGATCATCAAGTCCGACCCCCTGCATAAGCAGGAAAGAGCGCTGGGTCTAGATGACCCCAGCTAGATACTCATCTAACCTCCTCTTGAAGACCCCCAGGGTAGGGGAGAGCACCACCTCCCTTGGGAGCCCATTCCAGACCTTGGCCACTCGAACTGTGAAGAAGTTCTTCCTAATGTCCAATCTAAATCTGCTGTCTGCTAGCTTGTGGCCATTATTTCTTGTAACCCCTGGGAGCGCCTTGGTGAATAAATACTCACCAATTCCCTTCTGTGCCCCCCTGATGAACTTATAGGCAGCCACAAGGTCGCCTCTCAGCCTTCTTAACTGTATAATATTCTCATCCAGGAGGAAACAGTCAATTATTCCCCTTCATGTTGTGTCACTTGTAATCGCAGGAGGGGAGATTAATGAAAGAATAGATGGAAACGGGTTTAAGGTAAAATTTTTCCAGGGTGACTTAGGCACTTAAGTCCCACTACCTTTCAATAGGCATTTATACATGGGCTCTGGGAGTGGGGGGGAGGGAGGTGCACTTTAATCAGAGTGGCTCCAGGAGCTGCTCTAAAGCACCCAGAGCATCTCTCTCATTCGAGCTTTAGTTGAAGCACCCCCGCTGCTATTTTTAAGCACAGGGACAATACACAAAATGCTGGAGTCTGCTGGAGCGTGGTAATTACCATACTCCAGCAGACTTGATTAATCGAGCCTGCTCCAACGCGCTGGAATTACAGTGCGTTGGAACAGCCTTGCTGCTTATGTATAGATGTCCATTGCAACTTAAGCTCCTAAGTGCCCAAGTTATTTCTGACTGTTGAATTTAGACTTCAAAATTTTACCTATACTGTGAAAATGGAAAATAAGTCCTTTAAGGAGACAGTATATGCCATTACTATCACAAACATAAATAATCTGTAAATATGCACTTTCTTTGTGAATAAGCATAGAAAGGTCTGTAGAGGAATGAAAACCTCTACTTGGGACTCTGATTGCCTCCACCTTTCTAGTACACTAAGTATTGCTTTACTGCAGTGAACTGGGATTATACGAGTATGAACAACAAATTGATCCTGTGATTTTTATTTTTTATTTTTTTCTGAATTATCTTGAAGTGTATAAATTCCCAATGTGCATTACCTTGAGTGAATTGGGCCTTAATTAATAATAAATAGCAAAACTGTATTTAGACTTTTTGGAAAAAACTCTGATAGGCTGTACTATATTAAAATAAGTGTCAAAGTTACTTTTATATTATGCCATTTTTAGAACATTGAAATGCATGTTTATTCTATTTGCTACAGTATTTTAATGTTTTGGATGAAGGCCATCAGCTGTATGGAGATGACAAAACAATCATTCTGACAATTTATTTACTCAGTATTGCTGCTTAAAGTTTTCAAAATAAAGCTTTCAATGTCAATGAGATGACTGATTGAAAGCTGCTACCACTGTGTTCAGATGCTTTGTTGTATGCTTACAGAAAACAAAATAAGTGCAAGTTCATAAATTAAACCGGCAGAGAATTAATGGCAATAATAGTGTGTGTATGTGTACATGCGGATATAGGTATCCAGTATTTGAATTTAAGCTCCAGTTCAGTAGTGCATTTAAATATAAGAATAAAATACATCCAGTTTGTGCAATGTCCTGAAGCAGAACGTGACTACGCTCTGCCCAAGCGCTGTTCTGACTGGCTAAAGTCATTAAATGGACAGTTTATACAGGGCATGATCCGAAGCCTGTTAAATGCAATGCTGGATTGATACCTAAAAAATAATTCCAGTTCCAAACAGTGGAATGAATTTGTGTGTGACCACTTGATGTGGTAGGGGGATGGAAATTTAAAGAATGTTCCAAGGGTAAACCTAACTTCTCTTTGGAAAAGGATCATCCAATAAAACTGTCCTACTCATTGTGTGAGCTCTGATTAGAGGATTTGAGCTTCTGAAGCTTTAAATGGGGGAAGCAATGTTCATTAACTGTGAAGACAAAACTGAACATTGTTGTGCTGCTTTGCTTAAATACAAGATGGTAATCTGTATTATATATAATTAAACTTTTCTTTTGACTGTCATTTTTAATAGAAGCTATTTTTTGATTATACTCATGACCTGTTCTTCAGTACTTTGAAGAAAATAATGGATATCCTTCCATGCAATAAATCTGCTGAAAAATTGGGTTTGTCCAATCCATGATTTTCTGGAATGCATTGTATATCTCATGCTAATAGACTACAGTTGTCATAATTTTTTGTCTATTAAAGAATATCTACTATAAAAAGTGGCCAAGATATAATTATGTGTATTTATAGGTGTCTCCTGAAAAAATCACCAATGATGCAAAGCAACTCAATTAATCTAGGAGGGTTGTTACAGCATCTAAAGTGCCCCAATGGTTACAGCAGCCTCAGGACTGACTTGACTTGATTTATAGGTGTAAAAGGCTTCCAGAAAATTTTAATCTAAATTCTTTAACTCGGCGCATCATACCCAGAGTAGCAAAAGACAGAAACTGAGAGCCAGGATTCTGCACATACCTGTTTAAAGGGAAAATTTTACCTACAGAGGGAACGGAAGAGACCAGACCACTGCTTTGGGCAGGGGCGCTTCATGGTGAGAGAAGGCAGATTGTGAGTGGCTATCAGACCTCCAAGCAAAAGGACTAGTGCCTGTAACCTGGAGAAGGGTATGGGGGTGGGGGACGTCTAACTGCCCGTCAGGGCAGCGAGGAGCGAATACACCTAAACCAGTCATATTTTCCATTTTCTGTCATGGGTTTTCATAATCTGAAGACACATTTTAGTCTTAAATTAGGCAGAAAGCAGAGTAGAGTGGTCACTTTAGAGCAGTGCTTCCCAAACTTTACTCAGGATGACCCT